ACATAAATCACACATAGATTCAAGCCTAGTGAACTTTGAAACTTCTAATTTCTACAAACGACGCCGGAACCTATCAAATCACGTCCGATTGACCTCAAATTTTGTACACAAGCCATAAATGATATAACGGAGCTATGAAAATTTTCAAGACTGGATTTCGACCCCGATATCAAAAAGTCAACCCCCGGTCAAACTTCCCAAAAATTCAACTTTCATCATTTCAAGCCTAATTCCACTACGGACCTTCAAATAATTTTTTGGACACGCTCTTAAGTCCAAAACTACCATACAAAGCTATTAGAATCATCATAATTCAAATTCGAGGTCGTTTACACATAAGTCAACATCCGATCGACTTTTCCAACTTAAGTTTTAAGCCTTAGAACTAAGTATTCCAATTCATTCCAAAACCTCATCGAACCCGAACCAATTAACCCAATAAGTCATAAAACAACTGTAAAGCATACATTGAGCAGTAAATGTGGAAACTGGGTTGTAATACTTAAAATGATTGGTCGGGTCATTACAGATGGTGTGCATGATGGCTTTGGTTTTGGAAACAAAAACGGAGAAAGAACTTCGTTATTGAAGTGTGATAAAACCTTTGATTTGGTGATTGCTAACTTGTGTTTTCCATATAAATAGTAGCACTTGGTCACCTTCCAAAGTACAATGGCCAAAATCCAATTGCTTACCTACTACTTAGGAGGTGTGATAGAGGTGTGTGCATGGATTGCAAAGTCATCCCAATTGAAAATCTAACGATGCAACATATGTTATTGGTTATGGATTTGGCGATCATGCGGACAAGGAAAAAAAGGGTTATGTCTGGTCTAACTAGGATCAAGTGGGATGCCTTGACTAAGGACTAAGCTGAGGAGTTGGGGGAAAAGCTATTGGCTAATGGGGGCCTGGAGAAGTAGTAGGGACGTAGGTTGCATGTGGACCAGGACAACAAACTATATTACAGAAGCTATGAGAGAGGTGTTAAGGGCCTAGAAGGTTTTCTCTGGTGGATGCAAAGGAGACTGGTGGTGGAATGAAGATGTCCAAGAAAAAGTAAAATCTAAGAAAATGGCATATATGAAGCTAGTAGAAAGCATAGATGAGGTGGAGAAGAGACCGTACAAGGAGGCAAAGTGAGCAGTTACCACGGCTAAAATCGCGACGTTCGAATGTTTGTATGAAGAGATTGGGGATAAATGCGGGGATACGAAGTTGTACAGGCAGGGCCAAAATGAGAAAGAAAGGCCCGTGACCTGGATTAGGTGATGTGTATAAGATATGATGAGGGCAAAGTTTTAATGGATGAGGCAAAGATTAGGCGAAGATGGCTGTCATACTTTCATAAACTCTTGAATGAAGGGGAAGATAGCAACATTCTGATGGGTGATTTGGAGCACTCCGAGAGTCATCAAGATTTTAGATACTGTAGGCGCATAAGAGTATGGGAGATCGAGGGGGTAATGTGTAGGATGAGCCAGGATAGAGCAATCGGGCCAGACAAAATTCCTGTAGAGTTTTAGAAAAGTGTAAGTAAGGTAGGCTTGGAATTACACTCTGGGCTGTTTTACTTTATTTTTAGGACGAAGAAGATGCCTGAAGATTTGATGTGAAGTACGGTGATTTTGTTGTATAAGAATAAGGGTGATATCCAAAATTACAACTATAGGTAAGGTTGTTCAAGATCGAACCAAAACAGTTATCCAAACCGAACCGATGGCTTATTGGCTTATTGGTATCGGATTATCGGTGTAATGGATGGTGAACGGATTGAGATTTTATAATTAACGGCTTAACGGTTTGGGGGCATATTACTCAATTTTCTTATCGGGTAAACCGTTAACCCTTTATAATTTTTTATATTTACTCTTTTACCTCTATGTATATAAAGTACTATTGAAACCCTAAATGGCTAAATCCCTAATTTCTATTTTCTAATTCTCAATTGTCTGCACCACCAGAGGCAGAGAAGTACTCAGTCTCGTCTCTCTCTTGAAATAAGAATTGAGAAGTCAAAAAATCGAAATCTCAATGATTAATACGTGCATGTCTTTATGAGTAGTCTTGATGGTGTTAAAAATCTGGTTAATACATGTATGATAGTATAAGTAGTCTTGAAGACTCTTCAATTAAAAAGTATCGTTTGGTTAGGTCTTAGATGGTATTAAAAAATTGGTATTGATTTGAAGCTGTTTGGTGTTGATTGAATGATTGTTCAAAAAAATTCTATTTGGTTTAGCTGATAAGCCGCCCGATAATTGTTAATCCGATATCAATCCGCCTGGTGTCTTATTGGATGGCTAGCAGATTACTACATTTATAATCCGATAACCATTAAGTTAAACCGTTAAGCATAATTATCCGCCCGATAAGCACCCCTAACTATAGGGGTATGAAGTTTCTAAGCCATACGATGAAAGTTTATGAGAATGTGGTAGAAGGGAGGGCGAGGAGAAGTGTGTATATTTTCGAGAACCAGTTCGGTTTTATGCCGGGTCGTTCGACTACAAAATTCACTCATACGGTGAGAAGATTGGTAGAGCAGTATAAGACAATAAATAAGGACTTGCATATGGTGTTCATTCATGACCTAAAAAAAACATACGACAAAGTCCCGATATAGGTAATATGGAGGTATTTGGAGGCTAAAAGTGTGCTTGTAACGTACATTATGGTGGTTAAGGACATATATGATGGAGCTAAGACACGGGTAAGGACAACTAGAGGTGACTCATAACACTTCCCGGTTGATATGGGGTTGCATCAGAGATCAACCCTTAGCCCATTTTTATTTTCCTTGGAGATGGATGTATTGGCACGACATGGGAGGTGCCATGGTGTATGTTATTTGCAGATAATGCAGTTCTCATTGACGAGACACGAGGTGGTGTTAACGAGATACTGGAGGTTTGAAGACATACTCTTGAGTCTAAAGGTTTCAAGCTGAGCAAGACTAAGACAAAGTACTTGGAGTGCACATTAAACGGCGTTGTACAGGAAGCACGCATGCATGTGAGGCTTATACATAAGTCATTCCGAGGAGAGGGAGTTTCAAGTACCTTGCACCAATAATACAAGGTGATAGAGAGATTGGTGAGGTTGTTACACATCATATAGAAGCAGGGTGTATAAAGTAGAGGCTCGTTTTCCGGTGTGTTGTGTGATAAGAACGTACCACTGAAACATAAAGGTAAGTTCTACAAAGTAGTGGTTAAACTAACCATGTTGTATGGGACAAAGTGTTGGGCGGTAAAGAAATCTCATGTCAGAAGATGAAAGTGGCTGAGATGCAGATGTTGAGATGGATGTATGGGCAAATTAGGTTAGATAAGATTAGTAATGAAGTCATTCGGGATAAGATGGATGTGGCCCCGGTGGAGGATAAAGTGCGAGAAGCGAGGTTGAGATAATTAATGCATGTTAATAGGAGAAACATAGGCGGTGTAAAAGGTTAGCATTGGGGGTATGAGGAGGGGTACATGTAGGCCAAAGAAGTCTTGATGAGAGATGATTAGGTGGGACATGATGTATCTATAGGTGACTGAGGACATAAATCTTGATAGGAGTGTGTGGAGGTCGAGAATTAGGGTAGTGGGCTAGTAGGTAGTCGAGCGTTTCGCCTTGTATTCTTAGTTCTATAGCAATAATATTAATATATTATCTTTTATTCTTATATTGTTATTACTATCTAGCGTATAATTGTTACCTTGGCTTCGGTCTTCTCCTTTTATCTTGTTGTTATTACTACTTATTGCCTTTACTTTCTTTCATCTATTTTAGCCGAGGGTCTATCGGAAACAACCTCTCTACCTTTCCAAGGTAGGGTAAGGCTGCATAAATCGTACCCTTCCCAAACATCCCTCGTGGAATTCACTGAGTTTGTTGTTATTGTTGTTGTATACAACAACATCTTAGAAGGTTATAAAATGAAATTTGGGGAAATCAAAGAGAAGTAATGTGAAAAAATAGTACTTAATATATTTGAAAAAATAAAGGAGAATTAGAAAAGTTATATTAGTTTGCAATAAAAATAATTCCCCTCGATTACATTCAATTTCGCAATTACACCCACATATAGGGGTGTGTTTGGTCCGAAAAAAAATATTTTCCTGGAAAATGAGTTGTTTTATCACTTATTTTCCTATGTTTGGTTGGTGAGCGAATTTTTTTTTTAGTATTTGGTTAGAGAGAAGAAAATATTTTTTAGAAAAATAATTTTCTATGCTACTCTCCTCACCCCCTTCCCCAAAATCCGTGTGCTTTTTATCCTCTATCCTCTCCCCTCCCAAATACCCAATATTTAATTATTTTTTTAAAAATTCACACAAACTCAAAGGAACTAATGTGTTGCTTTACTTTTTCACACAAGAACAACGTTCAAATTTGAGCACCATAACTAAAAAGAAAATACTATTTTTCTTGTTGAACCAAAACAAAAGTATTCTTTCTACAATATGAAAAGAAAATACTCATCTTGTTGAAATGAAAGAAAATATTTTTTCTATATCATGAAAAGAAAGTACTCATTTTGGTGGAACGAAAGAAAATATTTTTTCTACATCATGAAAAGAAAGTACCAATTTTGTTGAGATGAAAAATAAAGTACTTTATCTATAATATGAAAAGAAAATATTCTAAATAACATTTGTATTTAGAATCGGGGTGGGGGTCAGGGGTAGGGTAGTGGTGTTAAGGTGGGTTGGGGTGGGTAGGATTGGGTGGTAAGAGTTGGTGGGATGGAGAATACGGTGGAGATAGTTGAAAAAGTATTTTGAAAAATATTTTCTCTTCTTTTGAACCAACCAAAAATATTTAAACCAACCAAGAAAATTAGAAAGCTTCTACCAAACACACCTTAATTTTTAGGCTGCTTTCCAAACATTAGAAACAAAACTAGGGGGCTGCATGTAAAATACTAAAACTAAAAGGACCAATCTGTAGATAGGTCTTTACGAAATTGTATAAAATCCAGAATTCTTCCCCAATTCACCCTCGCAAATCAATCAACCAAATTCTCATCCTTGGAAACCCTAGTTCCGACGCCATATAGCTTATTCCCTTGGCCATTCTCTTCAGATTTCCATTCGATTCGCTTCGAAATCTAACGGACTATTCGATTCGCATCGTGCGCGAAGATGAATTGATGTTTTCCGGTAGAGAAATAGAGAAAATCTCACTCCAGTTTTCTTCCGTCGAAGAATTTGCGGTCGCTTTTCGCCGATTGGATAAAATTCAGTCGATCCGAAATAAGCCGGCGGTTTACAGCTCAGCATCAGCTAAGAGAGACGTCCAGGGTGCAAGAGAAGCCGATTTTTGTGCTAATTGATAGATCCGATCGAGATCGTCGCAGTCGAAGGAGTAGCGTAGCAGCGTTTTATTAAATTTTTGTTAACAAGCCCTAAACTATTGCTGCTGAGTGAAGCTTTGAGGATTAATTTCGTCACGGTCAGGATGTTCAACTGATCTGTTGAAGGAATTTGGTTTGACTGATTTTATCTTGAGTTATTGAAGAGAAGTTGTGAGAGAAAAAAAAGAGCTGTTTTAGTTTTTTTGTACTTTATATATCAGTTTTATTTGAGTTCAATATCAGGCCTATTATAATTTTTTTGATTTTGGCCTTTTTGTTGTTGTTGTTATTGATTTGTTTGAGGAAAAAAAGGAATTTTAAGGAAAAAAGAGAGTCATGGCAGTTTATTTTAAGTTTAAAAGTGCAAAAGATTACGATTCAATAGCAATTGACGGTCACTTTATTACTGTTGGGAACTTGAAAGAAAAAATATTTGAATCCAAGCATCTAGGCAGGGGTACAGATTTTGACCTCGTTGTCACCAACGCCCAGACTAACGAAGGTTCGTTAGCTTCCAATTGAGTCGTCATTTTCGTGCATTCCCTAGTTGCATTCCTAGTCATATTGCCCAAGCTATTGTGTGACATTGATTTGGGGTCTATCAATATATTTAGTTTCTCTAGCATTTGGAATGTGCTGCTTATATTCAAACATTTTTTCAAAAGAAAAAAGTGGCTTTTATTAAGTAAAAAATGATTACAGTGATTTTAATTTAATTTTCGGAAAGATGACAGCATAAACTCTTTCAAGAACATATACATTGTAAAAATGTCTGATTTCAATTTTTCATTCTCTAGGGGGGATATACAATTTCAGTCATCTTATCTTAGTGGATTTGTTTTACATAATTATAGGGCAATCTCTATTTTGATTTAAAGGGAGAGTGGTCTTTTTAAAGTTTGCATAGAGGAAATCCTGTATTCAGCACTGCTGAGTTTCTGGACTTGTTTGAGTTTTCCTTTGTATAATTTTTGTACAAGTCCAGCTTCTTTTTTGTACTTTTTCAGTTCTCCCTTTGTACTGCTATTTATCAATAACATTAATTTCTATAATAAATAACTTGTTCTAATGTTAGGGCTCATAACAATAAGCTGGTGGCACACTGTCCAGTATAGCATTTACCTTGAGATTTGGTTTTTCCATAATAGTCTTTGAGTAGCTTTAAACGATACAACTATGTATTGTGCTACCTGAGACAAAAGAAATTATGTAAGGAGCCTATTTCACTCAAGGTTTATGTCACATTGCAAAACTCAGGGTCAAGTTGATCCTCCGTGAGGAACTGCAGTGCTTGACAAATAGTTTGTTTAGACTAAGGGGCTTTAATGGCGGATCATGCCATTTGGAATTGAATGCATAACTTGTATTTCCATTCATATGTATTGTGGACTCTACAGGGCTTTATGTGCTTTGTGTTTTTCTTTTTGCAATTTCAGAATATCTTGATGAGGACACCTTGATCCCCAAAAATACTAGTGTTTTGATTCGTCGTGTTCCTGGACGACCTCGCATGCCCATAGTAACTGCACCTGTAGCAGAACCAGACGAGTATTGTCTTGATCCTTTTGATTCTCATCTGTTATTTAGATTGCTTTATCTTTAAAACTTCAAAATCTGTGGAAGAAAGACAGTTGACCTGGGTTGGTACCTAAGAATTGCGCAGGTATCTCTTTTGTTGGAGCTGGTGATGGGGTGTTATGGGTAGTTTACTAAATCTCAAGATCCTTTTTCATGGTTTTTTCCTTTCCCAGGGAAGACCGACCCCAACTTCTTTGGGACTGAGGCATAGTTGTTGTTGTTGTTGTTTTCCTTCCCTTGGAAGGTTGTTGAAAGGTGGTGGGTATAGACCTTTGCAATGTGTGGAAGGTGGTTGAAAGGGGATGGGGTATAGGGGAGAATCGATGAGAATGCTGATGCTGTCATTTGCATTGTGTCGAATATGGTGTTCATAGTTTGTCCCTCCCCTCTTCTGCACAAGGTGGAAGTGGTGTTAATCATAGGTCCTTATACTGCTTTCAGTCTTTTGGGCATTGCCATAATAGCTATTTTAATATGACCGAAATGTCCTTTCTGCAGGCCCCAAGTAGAATACCAATCTGAGGAGGCTCAAACAGTAAAAAGTAGTTATCTGGGAGGGGTGTCATCTGCCACCAAATATGTAAGCGTCCATAGCACTATGCTGTAGGAGAATCTTGGTGTTTTTAGTAATGACAACTTGTAGTCTTAAGCATATTGATATATTCATGTTCATTGTGTAGCCTGAAGATCTAGATTGGGATGAATTTGGGAATGATTTGTATGCTATTCCTGAAGCAATGCCAGTTCAGTCAAGCAACCAAGTGCAGGATGCTCCTCCTCCAAGCAAAGCTGATGAGGAGAGTAAGATCAAAGCTTTAATTGACACTCCAGCTTTGGATTGGCAGAGGTGGGAAAGCCTCCTTTTAAAAAAAAAAAAAAATGTAAATGCACTCTGGAGAGTGTGATTATTGCATTACCTGTTCCTTTTTCTCTAATTTGGAATGATACTGGTTTGATGGAGACTTCACAACTTGTGTAGTTCTCCCCTTATATATAAAATTGTTACCATTATCCAAAAAAATAAAATAAAAAGGTTCTGATGATCTTTAAGTTGATGCAGTCAACCCTCTGATGGCTTTGGTGCTGGTAGAGGTTATGGACGAGGTCCAGGTGGAAGAATGATGGGTGGACGTGGTGGACGAGGCTTTGGTAATACGCCTTTTTTCTTGTCCTGTTGATCTACTATGAATCTTCCCATCTTTATCGGGTTGAAGAGCTTTGTCTATTTTTGCGTATGCTCACTTGAAATATCGGTCTTTTCATGCTGTTATTTTATAAGAACTACTACGATCTCAATCTCAAGCTAATTGGGGGCGGCTATATGAATCCTCACCATCCAAGTTGGTCCATTTAAGTCCATCTCAGTACACCTGCCTTCATTTCGTTCTTTTCTGAAATTTAATGACAAAAAAACTCATCAAGTCAATTGTGAAATTGTAGGTTGAAATTTTTTAAAAACCTTGTGGTTAAGTTCTTATGACTTGCCATCCTGGTTGAATAATTGTCATAAGTATGTAGGAGTATTGAATTTTCATGTTGCTACTGCTAAGATGAATTACTGATTGTGATTGAATTTGTTGGCTGTCATATTTTCATGTTTGAGCTCTCAAACTGGATGCTACTCTTCCAATTTTTCAGGTTGGGGTGGATTGGAACGGAAAACACCACCACCGGGCTATGTATGCCATCGTTGTAAGGTGCCGGGTATGTTTCTTATGTTTCATCCATCTTCTGGTCGTTGTCTTAGAAGTCTGTGATTAGCATAGTCAATGTGTTAGTTGACTCGGTGTGAACCGATTATGACAAATTGTTTCAGGGCATTTCATCCAGCACTGCCCAACAAATGGTGACCCAAATTATGACATCAAGAAAGTGAAACCTCCAACTGGCATTCCAAAGTCCATGTTAATGGCAACCCCAGATGGTTCATATGCTTTACCAAGTGGTGCTGTTGCAGTTTTAAAGCCCAATGAGTAAGATTTCCTGTCATGTTGGTATTGTTGAATGCTTGCTTGTAACAAGAATGCGTATGACTGGCCACTTGTTGTAGGGCTGCTTTTGATAGAGAAGTTGAAGGGATGCCTTCTATACGTTCCGTCGGTGATCTTCCACCAGAACTTCATTGTCCCTTGTGTAAAGAAGTAATGAAAGATGCGGTGCTAACAAGCAAGTGTTGTTTTACGAGTTTCTGCGATAAATGTAAGGAGCTTGCTGTTTAATTTGAGCATAGTGTTGTTTAAAGAGTTTTTGCTATAAATGTCAGCTTGCTGTTTAATATGAAGCTAGTGTTGTTGCTTCTACGATGAATTAAAGGAGTTCTCTGTTCAATTTAGTGTGCCCTATATTCTTGAATTTTGAATTGATCTCAAGGGTTATCCTCAGGCATAAGGGATTATATCATCTCAAAGTCAATGTGCATCTGTGGGGCCACAAGTATACTTGCTGATGACCTGTTGCCTAACAAGACTTTGCGGGATACAATAAATAGAATACTGGAATCAAATAATAGCAGTGCAGAGCATGGGGGTAGTGCTCTTCAAGTTCAAGGTTGGTACTGGTTTTAACTCTCTGAACTGTTCTCTCGCTCAAGTCCATTATCATTTTGATTTTTAAATGGCTTACGTCTTGTCTTTGTTATCACATGTTCCAGATATGGAGTCAGCACGCAATCTCCCACCTAAGATTCCATCTCCTTCACAATCTGCAGCTTCAAGGGGAGAGCTGTTACCACCACCTCCTCCTCATAAGGAGGAAACTTCTTCTAAAGTCCAGGAGATTGCTGAGGAGGGTAAAAATGGCAGTGCACCACAGCAAATGGTGGAGAGAGGCAGGATTTCTAAGGTTGCAGATGTTTCTGAAGCCACACATGAGTCAGTTAGTGTTAAAGAACCTGCATCCCAGGGAAGTGCTCCATTGGCTGATGAAGAAGTTCAACAAAAGCATGTAGCTGCGGAGGCAGGTAATGATGCTCTGTTGTTCACATTTTTGGCTTCGTAAGTCTTTGGTTGTATCTTACCGAGCAGCTTAGAGGAGATTCTTGGTTTCTTATATCCCTTGGATTAGTTCTCATCTATTTCTATTTTTTATTTTTTCAGCAAAGAAAAAGAAGAAGAAGAAAGCACGCCTGCCATTGAACCGTATGCACATTTCCCTTCCTCTTGTGCACGAGTTGATAAATCTGTTAGTTATTTTTTGGAATAGAGCTTCGATTATTATGTCTGCAATCTTGATGGATCTGTTTCCTGATTTACTTGATGCCCTTGCAGCTGCTGCTGCGGAGATGCAGTGGAGAGCTGCTCAAGATCATCTTGCTGCTGAGAATTATATGATGTCCATGGGTCCTTCTGCGTATAATCCTTATTGGACAGGCATGCAACCTGGACTAGATGGGTTTGCAGCCCCTTATCATGGTGCCATGCCGTACAATCCTTATGGGTTTGGTCCTCTAGATGTTCCATTTGTCCCTCCTGTATTACCACAAGATCCATTTGGCGGACAAGGTTTTATGTTGCCTTTTGGTCCTCCAATGCAGAGGTATAATTTGTGTTGCCTTTTATCCTGAATTTCTCTCTTAATCTCTGATCAAGCGTTTACACATGTTTTGGGGGTCCTAACCCCTTCTCGCAGTTTTTGGAAATGGATATTCAGTCTGGTTCTGATGTTGTAGTTTAATTACTTTCATGTTCATGTATCTATATGTGTCAGCTCCTGCGAGATTTGGATCACCTGACTGGTTTAAAAATGACCACCAAATTTTAGGGATCTTGCAGCAGAGTTTGGGATGGGATTTAATGCTGGCCCACCAATCATGAGCAGAGAAGAGTTCGAGGCTAGAAAGGCTGATCTGAAAAGGAAGCGTGAGATCGAGATACGGGGAGAGAGGTAATTTAACCTACCTGGTTTTCTGTTCCTGTTAATTCATTGCACAATATGGTGCTATTTCCGTTGGTGATGTTAAAATCACATTAAATGATCTGAGCACTGCGTGTTGAGGTTTTCCAAAGAATGCTCATTCCGTAATTTCACGGCATCACATTATGGTGCTATTTTGGTGTGATATCAAGAATTTCTTAAATGCTTGAGTATTGAATCTTGAGGTTTTTGCAGTATGCGTGTGCTATAAGTGCCTCCGTACAACTTAGTTTTCTCTACTTGAAGGCATGCTGAATTCAAGCACGATTAATTATATCCTCATATTTTGTCCTCTTTGGTTTGTTTTTATTGTCAAGAGTCATTTTCTATTATGCTTCTGCTTTTTAACGCACTTTCAATGGATTTTTGATATTGGCAATGTCTCGTGTTATATCCAGCAGGGAGTTTCCTAAAGACAGGGAACATGCAAGGGAAGTTGGGAGCGGTGCTGATGGTCCTCCAGTGAAATCCAAATCTGTATGTATCTTGCTTGCCAAATATTCCAGTCTATTTTATCCCTATATTTTAGTAGATGGGTATGCGTTACGAGAAAATTTGGCTAACAACCTGTTTAGCCAAGAAGCAGTTTATTTCCAGTTTCATCTTTCTATTACCGGGGACAGTCAAAAAAGCAGCAGTCCCTCCC